TTTCTAGGTCATGATCTGACTACTGGCAGGCAATCGAGGGGAGGGGTGGGGGTGTGTGGAATTGCCTTGCTTTGTCATGCAGTAGCACCACACAGCCAGAACTTTCTGGGGCTGCTTTTGGAAGGGATAAGGGTTACTCCTGGTGGCATGGTGGACTCTGGGAACTGTCTCACCGGAGGACATGACTGGGAGGTCTCTTCCAGTATCCCCACGCCCTCTGTTCTTATAAGATGGTTATGACTTGGGTTTCTTTTCCCCAGCTCTGCGCAGGTCCTTTGACGTCTTTGCGGAAGAAGTGCCCTACAAGGACTGGAAAAGATTTGGCAGAAAACTTCACCTCTCGGAAAATGAAATTATGATGGCTGAGAAGATTGGTGGGGATTCACTGCTGGAGCAGTATGTGCAGATGTTGACCACCTGGCTGAACAAAGAGGGCACAGGATCCTCTGTGAACACATTGCTGGAGACGCTGGACAGGATCCATCTCAGGGGCGTTGCACAATCAGTTTGCAACAAACTTATTCAGTATGGTCTTTACAAGTATGAAGACGCAAGCCCAGAAGCAGATGGGATTGTCTCTTCATAAGTACCTCTGAAGCCATGGGTCCCTCGTGCCCAGAGATCTTCTGGGAAGAGGAGCTGGAGTTAGTCAGATGCCTGGCGGTAGATTGCAAGCTACTGCAGACGTCCTGAGGTAGAGGAAATGCTCCGAAGGGATTTCTACTTGCACAACAACTCTAACAAATTGTTGCAAGGAACTACTGGGATCTCTTCTTTGGGCATTGGTACCACATGGTCACAGCCTTGTGGACTGCTGTTGACATTTGGCAGAAGTCCTCTCCTGCTGCTAACGCTAAGTCCAGAACTGGAATCTCTCTGGGGTCCCTCTGATGGCTCAGACTACAACCTGTAGTCTGTATCTCTCCTATTGCTGTGGGATAGCTTCAGGCTCTGCGAGTCTCAGATCGCAGCCAGCTGGGCATAGCCATTGCCTAAATAAATCTGTGCCAGGCAAGCTTTAGCTGGACTCTTGCTTTCTGAAAACTGTTTACCTGCTGTACATTTTAGCTATAGATAAGCTCCCCTTCCTGTAAGGCTAGAGCTGGGATGTGAGGGTTGGACTGGGGTTCATGGGAGGGGAAGATTACTACCTTCCCCACTGGTACGCAGACTATGGCCCACAGGCATTGTGTTCCTTTTTTGAAGGATGCTAAACCCCACAGAGGTGCAGGATCATCAGTGGCAGGTGCTCAAAAAAGCACTTGAGAGATGGGTTCAGTTCCTGCTTCGCCACAGACTTCATGAGTGACCTTGAGCAAGTTGCTGTCCTCTTTGCTCAATGCCTGCACGGTGGAGGTGCTAAACCTTCCTTACCTCAGAGAAGGGAAAAGCAAGTGCACTTGGACTATGGTCATGGGTCATCCATCCGTCCTCTGGATGAATGAGGAACTTCATCCAGGCATCAGTTTTCTCTTAGTACATAGTTCAGGGACTTCTTATCTGTGAAGTGACTTGTTGTTGTACCTCAGGATCAGCCAGCTACCCACCTTCCCTCCTCCAAAAGCCATATGGGCATCATCCTGGCAGCCACAGATGCCTTATCCTCAGCATTGAGAAACAGGTGCTTCCCCTCATCCAGCATCTCTCGGAGGATGCTCATACTTGAAGTCTTCCCCCTCCACCCTGCCAACATCTCCTCATGTCATGGCTAATTTGCTTGTTTGTTTTTAAATGGAAGAACATATTCTCAGTATTTATATATTTATTAGTAGCTGTAAAAACTTAACTTTAAAAGCTTAATATAAAAATAAGACTCCTCCTCCTTTTTTACTATGCATGTGTTTTTTGCCTTTTTGTACAGCAGTGTGAACCAGCCAGTAGAGTGGTTTGTACAAATCTTTATGAAGGAAGAATAAACTTAAAAAAAAATTGTACTACTGCTTGCTCTCCCCTTTTTTTCTGCACCCCCTTCCCTCCCCTAGTCCCTCCATTGTTCTGAAATGCTGCTGCCATAGCTAAACCCTAGGGACAAGGGCAAGGCCTCAGTCTACATGGCTCTGACTTCATTGAAGCTATTCTGTCCTTCACTGGAGGCCCAGACTCCGTTTCCTGTGTGGTCAGACTAGATTATCTTCCCCTTGGGCAGACTTGGCACGAGGAAGCCAGTGTCTGCATGTGTCCTGGGGATCACCCCCCACCCCCCCGCCTTTCATTTTGTGTGCAACTAGAATTCAATTGTCTCAATTTGTTTGTCAGCATCTTCATACAGTCACCTATGTCAACATACCATTTGGACCCTATTCTGGCTTGCAGCCATTTGAGTCCATGAGAAGAGCTACAGGACACTATTAACAAAAGTCTGGCTTTACTGAAGAAGATGCCTTCAGTCCTATTTGGCACAGATGGTAGTGGTCCCACTGGGGGTAGCGGCAAACTCGAGCAGCTTTTCCCTGCCCCCTCCCTTTGGATCCAGGATGTTGGTCTTGCTGGGAACGGATGCTCTTTTAAAACAGAGTTGCTGCTCTTATAGTAGAAAGGGAGGAGTTGGGGTGGGGAAGAAAGGGCACGAGTAATGCCTCTTTATTGGAAGCAGACCTGGTTAGAGCCACAAATTTGCAAGCTTACCAGAAAACAGGAGTGCAGGTCTGGGGACTTGAGGGAAAGCTCTCTTGAGAGCCATGTGCTAGAGCTGGGGTGGGCAAAATGTGGCCCGTGGGGCCCCTAAAAAGTTTAGAAAATTAATACTTAATCTGCCCCGGGTGCCTGTCCTGCAGCCCTCAGGGCTTGCCAAAACTCAGTAAGCGGCCCTCTGCCCAAAATAATTGGTTGCCCCTGTGCTAGAGGAAGGTAGGGTTCAGTTTCTAGGCATAGAAATTACCATTGCCCATGCAAACAGTGGTGTTCCTCCCTTGCTAGTGCTGTACTCCCATGTGTCCAGCTATATCCCCCTGTGCATGCTAAGGACCTGATCAGGCCCTTGGGGGTTCTTGCTGCTAAGGAACTGCTGCTTATTGGTGTAGTTGGTTCCCAGGGGTGCAATCAGCTCTGTGCTCTATTGTGGGTCTACCTGTGCTGATTTCTTTGCTGCTTTCCCTGCCCTCTACTAGGGAATTGAAGCCCTGAGTGTAACTTTAAAAAGAGCATGTAGAAAGCTGACACTCAAAGCACTTGAGTGGAAGCCAGAACCATGATCTGGAAACCAAGGCACACAAGACAAATTACTTACCCCGAACACACAGCCTCCTTGGTCCTCTATTGTATTTACTAGCTAAAACTGCCCTCTGATGTGAGTACTCTGCAGACACCTGTATGTGAAATAAGGATCCTCCGCAAAAAAACAGCCAACCTTTTTTTTAAATGCACCTGCTTCAAAGCGAAAGGTTGGACCTTTTTCACTTTAAAGAAACTAGTTTCTCTTTTTGCTATGGTTTAATTTTGGGTTGTTTGAGGCAGTGTGGACCAGTGTTGCAGGTACCCAGAGGTAGGGGCATCTGCACAGAGTCCCCAGACCTTGGCAAAGAGCTGGGAGTGGAAAACTGGTTTAGCCCCCTGTGCCTCACTTCCCCCATCTGTAAATGCAAGAGAATGCTACCTTTTGTGCACATGTGAGATGGGATGGAGTATGTTACTGCCATGTTCCTAATGCCCAGGGCAGGAATTCTGCTGTGCAAGGCTGATTTAAGGCTGTGCCATTGTGTTGGCTGTGAGCACTGGAGCTCTGCTGTTTCTCCTTGGGAACATCCTGAGCCAGCAGGCAGCTTGGCCGTGTGCTTGGGTGTCTGGTCAGAGCAGGGAGATGAGCTGTCAGGGGCTGGGAGACCGATGCAGTGAGTTGCCACTGATTTCTCCAGTATCACCTGCTGCCTTTGAAATACACAGAGACCAAGATGGTCTTTTAAAATACCATTTATTACAACAGAGCCTTCTGAGCTAAAATCCCAACTAGGTGGTTTGGTAGTAGGGTTGGTTTCGAGGGTTTGTCTCTTTTCTTTCTTTGCTTATTTCTTTTTCTCATATATAAAAAAAAAAAAAAATGGACTGTGGGATTCCACAGGGTTGCAGAAGCAGCACAGCCCCTAGTGTCCATCTAAATTGGGAGGGGGAAAAAGCAATGCCCTTGCCTTTAACTCTCCTTGCTTAGGGGTAGGGGCTGCAGGCTGATCCAATTGGGAACTAGGGTAGGCCCTTGTGGTGTTAACAACTTCCCTACTGCTTCCACTGCCCATAGTTGAAGCAGGGAAGAGGGCAGAAGCCTGGGATGGGGACAGTGGGGTCAGCTGCTCCATGACTCGACTCCCACCTGCACCAAGGAGCTCAGTTCTGAGTTGAAGAGCAGCGCTGCACCTGCTGTATGTCTGCATCCCTCCTGTGGTCTTCACTGAGGTTGGACTTTCATGGGCTTAAGATGCACCCTGCCTAAGCAACTGTCTGCAAGTTACCGCCCTGGCTCTGAAGTGCAAAGGGATAGAGCTGCTCCCTGACTAGCTCCAAGGGAGGGGACAGGACTGTGACCTGCTGGGCTCTGAACCATACACAAAGTGGGGGAAAGGAGTTGGAAGCCATCAGGCAAAGCAGACGGGCCTGTGACTCCTGGTTAAAAAATAACATGGACTCAGGAAGAATTTCATTTTTGCTGAAGAGTTTAAAAAAAATAACCCCTCCTCTCTCGTGCTCCTGTAAACATGAGTTTCTCCTGCTGATGAAACTCCACCAAGCTTCTAGCGTGTCAGCAGCCTGCTTGGGGCACAGCGCTCAGCAACCACCTTGCACGTCTCCAGCAGAGCAGCTACAGAAGGGGTCAGGGTCCCGGAGAGCTCCCAGCCGGGCCCAGAAGCTCTGGATCCTGAGCCCCCCTGTATGGTACTCGCCCTCCCTGCTACGAACCCTCTTTCTCTGCCACGGGGCTTAGCTGGTGGTGTCTTCTCCAAGCATGGCGGACCAGACGCTGATGCAGGGCAGTCAGCCCCCTCTTCCTAACTGGAGCCAAGATGAGGGGGCTTTCAAACCACAGCTGAGGAGGACGAGGAGGAGGACGAGGAGGAGGCTGTGGCTGCGGATGAGGAAGGGGAGGCCGAAGGGGAAGAGGAGGCATTCCAGAAGAGCCATCTCCTCTTGGGCTGCCGTTTCTGGTGGAGGTAGTCTTCTTTCTCACGCTCCTTCTTGGCCCGCTGGTAGTGATCCTCTTCCTTCAGGTACCACACCGGAGGCCAGCGGTGCTTTTCAAAGTATTCCTGGTTCTCTGCAGAGAAAGAGATAGTATTTTAGCAACAAAACCATGCAACTCGGCCCCTGTCATACCAGCATAGTGGTCCTTTCCTGCCACAGAGTTTGCTGCCCATTGCTGGGGTCTCCTGGTTGCCTTGGCCAGGGTTCCCCAGGCCTTCTCTAGCAGTTGATGTGGCAGATTGATGCAGAGGATGCACAGGGTGGCAACCAGCACTGACCTGCTGACATGGCCTTCATATCCCGAGGGAACTTCCGACAGACGTTGTTGTAGTTGGTGCAGATGTGATGGAGGCACCAGTCTGCAAGCTGGTATGCACAGTGGAACTGCAAGAGATGGAGCCGTTAGAAGAACCAGGTTACACCTGATCCGGTATATCCACCAGCCTACCCACTGCTGCTGTTCAGCCACCACCAGCATGGGGGATGAAAGCTGCTCTCAGCTGCTGAAAGAAGCAGAGGAGGATTGGCAGCATGGGGCTAGCAGCGCACCGTTACTGGAATTGGCATTGGGCTGCTCTGCTGTTTATCCTTCTGTGGCCACGAGAGGGCAGGACCCAGCTTTCTTGTCTCACTGGGGAGGTAACAGCACAGCTGCCCTCATGTGCCCGGATAATCCAAGCCATGGGATTTGGCACTGGGGGAGGGCAGTCCCCCCGCCCCCTCCCCACTACTACTTCCACAAGCTTCAGTGTCTCTTGGAAAACTCGCATCCACCCAGTGCCCCAACTTGTCCCTACGTAGCAGGGGAGGACCAGTGGGCTCTCAACACAGAGTATGGGAACTCCAGAAGACAGCTCTCTGCTCCATCTTCCTGCTTTCCCTCCTTGAATTCCCTCCCTACTGCAAGTGTAGCAACAGCCATCACCCACAGACAATGCAAATCTCAGGGCCTCCTTCACTCGTTGCATCTGTGCTCTCCCTAACAAGCAGCTTGTACCTGAGCCAATTCCAGGAACACGAGGACATCCCCATCGATATCTGCCATCATCTGGGATGCCTCCATCAGGCTCGTCACCGTGTACTGTTCTGTGACACACAAACACAGTGGGGTTACAGTATCCCCTTACATTGCTCCAGGATGTGGGCAATAGCATCAATGGCCTGATTCCTGGAGACTCCTCGTGCCAGCCTCACTTTGACCGCTAGAGCGGGTAGGGAATAGGCTGGTTTTATCCATGCCTAGGTGTTGTGTGAAGACATTTGGGTGACGTTGTCATGTTGAGTGACATTTTTTGCTGGGAGAGAGGCTGGGGTCTGACCAGGGAGTGAGTGCATTTGCCCTGAATCAAAAGCTGGACCGCCTCAATCCAAACACAGCTGCTTCGACACCACTGTTGTGCAGGAATTTGTGCGGGGTCTGGAGCTTTTGCCTCAGGGAGCGAAACCAGACTGTGTCACCTACAAAGCTGTTGTGAAACTGAGCTATTGTCCTTCACCGCTGAAAACACCAGAGCCCTGGGACCCGTGTCGTCTCCCGACCAGCTGAATTGGAAACACTGCATTGTGCTCCGGTCAGCTGTCCTGATTAACGCTGAGCTTCTGGACTGCTTCCCTTGGGCAGACAGCTGGATTCTAGACTCACCAAGGTACGCCTGGGCTAGGGAAGGTGGCAGGCATACCCCAAGCCTGTCTCTGAGCCATGCTCCCCCTGAAAACCCAGGTATGTGAAGCCTGTGGTTAGGGAAAAACTCTGGGTCCCTTCACCTAAGGCTGGAAGAAGGAGCTCTAAGAAGCAGTATGCTCAGCAGCTCCTTGGTGTCCCATTCATTTCTAGCTGCAGGCTGGTGTCCCATTTGAAATAAAGCTGAACTCAGCTCCTGTTTGTGGACTCCTGCCTTTTTCTCCCACCACCCCTGCATTACCTGTGAGAGCCACGAGGTGCGGCAGACACAGCCGGTTAGCCAGGATGATGAGCTTCATGTCGTCGAGGTCCGGGCTGGAGCTGAACTGGCCGGTGTACAGGTACTCGAGCACTGCCCGCATGCAGCTCTTGCTGGTGTAGGGGAGTGCCACCTGCAGTGGGCACACAGGGGGTGAGGAGGGAAGTGGGTGTGGACAAGGTTACCTTCCCAAGGGTCTCGGGATCTCTGCACCTGGCCCAACCACAGCACTTCTGCCCACTCCCCTCATCTGCAGTGGAACTTGCAGTGTCTGCTGCATGGTCTTTCCCCTGCCCACTGCACAATCTTGGCATCCCTCCCACTCTCCCTGCCCCCACTGGGCCCTGCAAGGAGAGAGAAAAAGCACCAAGTCAGTGAAAAGGCACTCAGTGTCTCTCCTTAATGCCGTAGCTTTGGGCCTCTGGGACCCAGCTAGAGCAATGCAGGGAGTGGAAGTGCCTGCTCATCAGAACTGGTTTCCAGGTGCGGCAAGCAGTAGCATGTCAGCTGCGCTCCCTTCTCTGGGACTCCAGGGTTGCAGGGCCAGGCTGGAGGGATAGAGATCAGTCCTGGCCCTTGCTGCATTCTGCTGCCCCCTCACCTCCTTGGTAGAGCTCTCCACAAAGGGACCGCCAAACATAGCAGCCATCCAATCGCAGCTGGAGATCAGCAAGGGCTTGTGGGCACTGATAGCACCGTCATCCAGGATAAAGGTGACATCTGCAAGCAAGCACAAGGAAACCCATCACAGAAGGTCACAGCCTCCTGGCTGCCGCCATTTTGGGCTGCAGTCCACAACAGCATCTCTGTCCTCCCCTACAAGAGACCCCATGGTGATCCTGCTCGCAGCCCAGGGAGCGGTGGTCTCCCCAGGGAAATATGCTGGAGCACCCACAGAGTGAGATGGGCTGGAAACCATTTCCACTACATGTTCTCCAAGGTACTCTGGACTGCAGCACCTCTCCCCTCTTGGCAGAGGGCCTGAAACCAGGACAGCTACCCACCCCTCAAACAGGGCTTTTCATTTGGAAAGCTCCAGGCTTCACCCAGGGGACCAGGTATTGTTACTCAGGTTTCACAGAGGAGGATTTATGATGTAGCTGAGGCCTGCAGAGCAAGTCTTTGGCGGAGCTGGGAATAAAAGGGACCTATTCTCCTGGCTCGCTCTCCAGCTTGGCCATCCTATATACTCTGGGGTCTGAAGTCTAACTAGAGGGCAGTGGCTGGCCTGTATGTTGGCCTCTCCATTGGCCTCCAGTGGAACAAATGCAGTCAGCATGATGCAAGGATTTTTATATCGCCCAACATCACCACCAGGAGCCTGAGGATGTTGCCTTGGAATGACACTGTCCTATGTCACAGCGACACTGTCCCGCAACCCAACAGCAACCTAACGCACCTACAGAGCCTCCGACAGGGATGCCAGAACCAAGAGAAGGCCCCTTTAACGGCAGGATCCCCCTCATCCAGTTCGATGCCTCTACAGAACCTGGGACAAAGGAAGCCGAGTTCCTGCAGCTGCTCCTGTTTAAATAACCAGAGCTGGAAAGCTGGGCAGGGGCTGGAACTCTGTGGCAAACCAGACACTCATGCTGGGCTTTCTGGGGAAAGTGTATAACACGGTAAGTTTTATATAAAACCTGCCCTGGAGAGGAGCCAGCAGCACTAGGGACAAGTTTGCATTGGCAGCTCTGTCGGGGGCAAAGGCCTCTCAAATCACCAACCTAGTTCCAGCCGAGATCTCAGCAGTGAGGACTGCCCTGTTAATGCAACAGCCCCATTCACATGCATCAGCCCTTTTGCTGAGTCCAGTATCTGCAACCCTGTCATTCTTGGGTTCTTTCCTAACTCTGCCAGCAAAGTGGAAAGGCAGAGGCCATTGAAATGGACCCCTGCGCAGGAACGGGACTATGATGCCTCAGCTTGTGCAAACTTAAACACCAAACAGCCATCCAATGCTGTTGACTGCCAGTCAATATGGGCCCAGACCACAGACAGAGGAAATGATCTCTGCATCTTGCTCAGGGGGTTTAGGAGAGACTCAGGAAAACTCCCTGCAATGTGCCCAGGTTTGGGACAGATATGGCTCAGCGTGTTACCCCCAGGTCCAGAATCTGGGAAGACTCCTTACGTCACAGGCCTAGGTGGGCAGAAGAGACTCCTACTGTCATCCACTTGCCTAATGAACGCACAAGATTTTCCATGCCATGACTAGACTGAGGGGTGGAAGGGGACCCTGGGCCACAGCCAAGCCTGGGGAGAAGTATAAAAGCCTCCCAGCTCTCGAACGCCTAGTTCTTCCTGCTGCGGGAATGAGCCTCAGCCACAGAAGCAACCCATTTATCTCTGGCAATCTCTGCTGCAGGCCGTACCAGAAAAGGTCCCCTTGGCCAGGCACTCCTTCACACGGTTGGTCCTCCTGACATGGAAGGCTTTGGTGATCTCCTGGTTCATGAACGCCTCGTTGTTCAGGATGTTGGCCACCATCATCCGGAGATCGAAGACTTCCAGCAGCTCCGCTATGTGGGCAATGTGCATGAGGTCCCTCTCCTTCTCGTCCAGCTCCCCTGTGTACAGGTACTTGAGCACAGCCCGGAAGGGCCCTGGCTGGATGGAGGGGTCCATTTTCACCACCACCATAAGTTTGGACTTGTAGGTTAGAGGGTCGTCCGCCATCTCCTCCTGGATGCTGACAAAAGCCCGGCTCCAGGAAGAGAGGTCTCTCCCCCGCCGCAGCCCCCGCTCCCCATTCTCATAGCTGTTGCCCCTTAGGATCCCATCGCTGGTGGAAGCTCTAAGGCACGGTTTTTGCTGGCCAGAGCTGGCCTCCTCGGCACTCTCGCAGATGTCAAAACTGGCGGCTCGCAGGAGGAAGTCCCGCCCGTGGTGTCTCTCCTCTTGGTGCAGCATCCGCTCAGCGGCAGTAGAGATGGTGGCTCCTATGCCGCTCCCTGCCATACCCTGCTGGTCATCCTCACTCAGGTCCATCAAGAACAGGTCGTAGAACTTGGAGGAGGAGGTGGAGAGGTAGATCTTGTGTGCGTAGATTTTGATCCTCTCTTGCAGCACCAGGATGACGTCTGCGCACAGTGGGTCCTCCAGCAGGTGAGCTGGGCGCTCCTCATTGTTGGAAGGAGGGTCTGGGACCAGGATGATTGGCGGTGGGGGCTTCGGGGGCAGGAAAGGAGCCTGCAGCAGCGGCCTCTGGACGTTACGGAGGTGAGACTTCCAGAACTGCAGGTGCCGGCGGGAGATGAGGGCTGCCCGGATGGCATTGTCAAAGACATCCTTGATACCGAATTGAGCCACCACGCTGGTCTCGTAGTAGGGGATGCCCAACTCCTTGGCCACTTCCCTCCCCTTCTCTGGGGGTAGAATCTCATTGGGCTTGATCGGCCTGGAAGAGAGAGGGGTGGAAAACCACGGTGAATATAGTCCTTCAGAGCACGTAGCAATGGGCAAAGGGGTTGCTGAGGATGCGCAGCATCAGGGGTGCATAGGGCAAATAGCACACCCTGTAGCGTGGCAGGCTGACTGAGGCCATGGGCCGAGATGCCCCTTCTGGGTTTTCCTGCTTTTGTCTCTTACCTGTAAGTCCTCACCACCTCCTCTGTTTTTCTCATCTCTCTTCCCCCACCCCAGTCCCTGTCATGCAGATCTGCCTCAGCTCACAAGTCCTGTTCTCTGCAGCGCAGACTTCAGGGCACTGGCCTGCTGAGTGAGTTTTGCAGAAGCTGTTTCTGCCTTATCTCCTCTCTGCAAACACCCTCCTGCCCCCAGCACGGGTCTCCCTGGTGCCCTTGCTGATTTCCAAAGCCTGCTTCTCTGAATCTTTACCTAGCCAAGGGTCTCCGGGCTCGGTTGACTGCCTCTAGGTCAGCATAGCGAAGGTCGAGCTGGCAGCCCACGAGGATGACAGGTGCTCGGGGACAGAAGTGCTTGATCTCTGGGTACCACATGGTCTTCACGTGGTGTAGGGAGTTGGGGTTAGCAATGGAGAAGCACAGCACCACAACATCTGACCTAAGAGCAGAGGGAGGGCTCTGTTACCATTTGGTCCCCTGCCAGAACCAGGTGTGCAAATGCATGTGCACACACCCTGCACAGGAGCTGGACTCTCAGTAACCAAGCTGCAACGTGCAAAGTCCTGGGTAAAGAGCACATTGGCCCACATGGGAATCAACTTAATTCATCTGTAACATACCTTCCCCATATGGGGAAGCCAGTGCTCCCCTGGGGTACATTGCATGCTTCCTGCTCATGTCCACCCATTCTGCCAGGGGGTTCAAAGCAGCCACGTGGGAGTTAACCCCTCCTCTCCCAGTGCAGTGTGTACTTTTCCTTATAAAAGACAGTTCCTCTTTTGATGCATTTACTCCTTCTCTTTCCTAGCCCCGCTGGAAGGACCCGCTCATCATCCTACCTTCCATAAGCAAAGCGCCTGTCTTTGTGATGGTCTCCGAAGGTATCCCAAAGTCGCAAGGACACGCTCACATCATCCACCACGTCTCGCGAACGCTCCAGCACCTGGGGAAGCAGAGGAGGTGAGGGACTGTCATGCAAGGTAGGAAAGGCCATTTCCAGGGAGTGAGGTGGAGACAGGTTTTCAGCCAGCTCCTCTCTTGCTCCGTGCCCAGGACATTAAAGGGGAGTTAATGCCACTGCTGGCACTGATGTGGGGTGAGAATGTGCTGGGCTGAGCCTTTCTTTGGCTCGAGTGGATCCAATGCAATCACACCAGCTTCTTGCTTTGATGGGGAGCTTGTCTGCAAGATTCCCTCCCCATCTGCCTCCCAGCCCCAGGCCACCGGGCTCCAACTGAGGCAGTAAACTGGGGTGGCTGCAGAGCTCTAACATTGGTGGTACCAGTGCTGCGCACAACCAGATGTTCCTTACCTCCTGGCAAACGCGGTACTGGTCGATGGCCCAGACCGTGGGCACATGGGTGGCGAGAAGCTGGTACTGGGTCAGCGTGGCATTGCAGGCACGGGCACAAATGAGCCTGGTCTTGCCCACCGCGTTGTCCCCAACCACGACGCACTTGATAGTTTCTACGTTTGGCCTCTCATAATCCATGTCAGAATCCATTAATTGGGACCTGCAGGGGGAGAGAGCAGTAAAGGGGCTGGGTCAGAATTACTGAGGTGGCTCTGCGTTGCATGCTCGGTTGGCCTATGCTTTCCCTGCTCCCCAGAGACTTTTGGGCTACCCCCGAGAGGCAGAGGACTCCCACAGAGGCTCCTGATCTACTCCAGCCCCCTACTCCTAACCCATGTCTCTCCATACCAGCTCCACCACTGAGATGCATCCACTCTGCCCAGCTCAATGGAAAGAGATTTCCCTGCAGAATGAGATCCAGGGGATGGCAAACCCCATGGGAGGCATTTATAAGCAAGCCCAATTGCCTGCAATCAGGTAAGACCACACGCCCGGCATCCAACCTGGGTCCCCCTTCACCAACTGAAGCAGGTAGGAAAGGCAACTCGCCCTGAGTCTCTGTTCGTACTAGGAGGGGATGCCGGGGCTGTCCAACCCAGTGGGGGGCTGTTGTGAAACAGCTCGTATGGGCGAAGCCAGTGCCCGGGCATTTTTGCCCAGGAGTGCTGCTTCATCCTCTCGCACCATACTCACAAGACCTGGCTCAATGGGATTCCCTTATGGTCCACGCCTGTCTCTGCAACATTCCCTATAGAGGGGCAGCAGCACAGCGAGAGGACTCACTTTGTCTCTCACGCACCCAGAACAGTTTCTCTGAGCAGAGCACCTCGTGCAGACTCCTGGCAAACTCCTCCCCAGTCGCTGCACACGCGTGGCCCCAGCTTCCCCAGGCTGCAGCGAGCAGCTCCCCTGGTGCCACCCGCCGAGGACCACGCTGCCCGAGAGAGCTCCGAGCAGAGAGCAGCACGCAGCAGCCGTTGCAAGGGGAAGCAAGCCAAGGCAGCTCCCCACCCCTTCCCGGCATGCTCTCCAAGCAGGTTCCCTTTAAAGTTTAATGGGCTCATGGAAGCGTGTGCTGCTCTGCCTCGCAAGACACCCTCCTCCCTCCTGGGTCTTTCTGGCCCAGGCTCATGCCTGTTCATGTGAGATGCATTATTTTTCCTCCTCCTTTCTCCCTTCCCAGCACTTGCTAACAAAGCTTCCAGATCCACTGACTGAGCATGAACCTCAGACCCTGGCCTTCCCCCTCAGCCCCCACTTTCCACCCTCGGCCCCACCAGCTGGATGCCTCTCTCAGCTCCAGGCTGGCACGCAGGCAGATGAAAGCATGGAGCTCTTAGAAGCAGCCTGGAGGGCATAACCAAACAATCGCAGGGCTGGCAGCTCCCTGCCTACGCAGTCACTGGAACAACTGGCACCAGGGACACCACAGCCCACTGCATTCCCATTTGGCTCAAACAGGACAACATAGCCACAGCAGCATTCAGGCCCCTGGAAGGGAAGTTTGCTCTTTCCCCTGCATGCACAAGCGCCTTCATGTTTCTGAAGACTCAGCAGCTGACACTGTTATGGGGAAGTTTGTACGACTGCCTCTCCAGAGGATGCTTTTGGGGGAGTTCCTGCTGTGGGAGTTGTGCCTGGGCCCCAAGAGACTGATGTTGTGGGCTAGCTCCCAGCAACCTGAGCTCCAGGCACAGGTGCCCATGGGTAGTGTGCTTTGCCAGCCCTGAGCTGTGGCAGCGCATGGCAAGCTAGAGTCTAGATTAAACAGAATTAACTCATTGCAGCCTGAGCCAAGGACTGAGAAAGCTCCCATGTTGGGAGCCAGGGAAAAAGCTACTGTACCCACAAGGATGGCGGGAGACCTGCATGAGAGGACGGGGCTGCGGCTTTCCACCAGCTATGCCAAAAGTTCCACAATGACATTGCAACATCACCACTTCTCTTCCCTGCCCAGGGCACTTGAGGATGTGCTCAGCCCCTTGCAGGATCGGACCAAAAGCCTTGTGGGTTCAAAGGCTGAGCATAACAGGCCAGAGCCACAGCTGTGCCAACCTGGGTCTCTTCCCATGCCGGCACATTTCGGAACAAGTTTCTCCCAGACCCGAAGCTGTTTAAAATGAGCAAGCTGCCCCTGCTCCGGTGTGCCTCTCCTTCATCCTTTAGGCAATGAGCATGTGCCTCTGAGCACAGCAGTGCCAGGACCAGAAATGAGACTAAGCTCCAGCTGAGAAATGAGCGCCAGGCTCGGGTACTGCCCTGATAGGCACTGGCAAGGGAAACTTTCTATCAGGCCGTGATCACCCTGATATAAGCCTGCTTCTTCCTCTGCCCACTTCAAGCCAGCACCCCACAGTGTCCAGCCCTGCACAAGGAGAAGCATGAGAGAAATGGGATCTTTGCAAGGTTTCACTCTGCTTTTGCAGCTGTGCGTGCCCAGGGGACCAAGCATGTGGTTGGAGAGAGGGAAGGGCCCTGAAGAGGCAGGGCAGAACAGGGAGGAAAGTGGCGCATGCACAGAAGGGGATGGTTGGCTGCTTCGGGACTGCCCAGGAGGATGGGGGCTGTGGTATGCTCCTTGCCTGTGGCTGTGTATTTGGCCTGGCACCCAGCTGTCCCTGCAAGGGTTATTTTTTAACTGTTTGGGGGCCTGCCCATGGCACGTGCAGATATAAAGTATGAAGCCCTAACAGGAGCAGGGCAAAACGCTGCCTGAAAGGAGAGATGGACAAGGCGGCCCGAGACGAAGGAAGAGCACAGGGGGAGCCTCCAGCAGCATCTGTGCAGCCAGTCGGCAAATTAGTATCCACGTGACTCTTCGCAAGGGTCCCCTGGGCGCGCCAGAGGCACATTTCATTGCCACGTTCACATCCACCCGCCGTCAATCCTCCTCCAACCTCCAGCTCTCGGTTTGGTGTCCCCACCTGACTCTCATTCAATGCAACTCCTCCTGAAGCCAGTGCCAAGACATGGAGCAAGCCCCAGGCTGTGCTCCTGCCACCCCCCGCCGCCCAAAATCCAATCTCCCCCTGGCTCACCCAGTCGGCGCTTCATCACCCCTCTTGACCCACCCTCCTCCAGCTCTTCGTCCCCCTACATCCTCCCCCAAGCCCCTCGCGGGCCCCTGGCTCCAGGGCAGCGCTGCTGCCCGCGCCCCGCCCACCTCCCCCGGGCACGGCTCCGCCCCCTCCCTGCCCGGCCAATCCAGATCTGTTCATTTCGAGCTGCCCCAGTCTCCGGTTGCCAAGGAAACAAAAGAATCACCGGGGAGCCTGGCGCGTCTCCTAGCAACTCCCAGTCTCCAAAATCCTCCAGCCCACATCTCGCCGGAGGAGCAGGGAGGGCGCAAACATGCGCGCGCACACACACACACGCACGCACACACACAAGTACTGGTGTGTGCACACAGGCACGCACACACACACAGGTACAAGCGTGTGCGCGCACACACACACACACACACGCGCGCGCACACACACACAGAGCCAGGCATGTGCGCGCACACGTACACGCATGCACACGCAGAGGCAGCCCGCCCCCCCACCCCCGCCGGACTCACCGCGGCACAGAAGCGGGGGCCGGGCGCGGGGCCGGGCATGGCGGGGCGCCGAG